CCTTACCCCCACCTAACCCCCCTTCCCCTTCACGTAACAGGCATTGTACCTCAGCAAAGTTGCTGACACCAAACTGTGAGGAGTGGTTGATAAACAACAGAGGGTTGTGCTGCCGTCCAGATGCCCAGGACCTCAGCACTTTGGAGAAATGGCCCAAAAGGAACCTCATGCAATTAAACAAAGGGAAGCGTGAAGTCTTTCACCTGTGGAGGAACAACATCAGGCACCAATTACCGTGTGGTTACTGGATGGAAAGCACCTGTGCAGAAAGGACCTGGGTGTCCTGGCAAACACCAAGTTGAACATGAGCCAGCAGTGCACCATTGCAGCAACAAAGGCTAACTGTACCTGGGCTGCATCAGGAGGACTGCTGCTAGGAGGTGATCCCTCCTCTCTCCACAGTGCTGGTGAGTTCACACCTGGAGTGCTTTGTCCTGTCCTGGGCTCCCCAGAGTGAGAGGTGAAGAATTGCAAAATCATCAAGGAAAGTTGTCCCTGAAAAGTTCTTCTCTTTCCTGTTTAAAGCCTGTCCAAGGTGCTAGTTGCATAGGATACACATGCCACGTGGGCATGCACACAAATCTATGGTGTCCTTTTCAATTTTTATTTTTAAAATGCCTTTTTTACCAATATTTTCAACAGTAGCAGACACTTCTATTTTTTTTTTGGGTGGGGGGGGCGGGGGGTGGTGGCAGCTTTTGCATGTTAAGCATGAGAACAGTTTTAAACAGCCCCATATCCCATGTGCAAAACTTGAATGATTTGATCAGAGATTGTTTTGGTTCCAGTGCTGATTTTGCTCTGATGCTTTCCTTCAGGGTGTTTGGAATGACTTAGAATAATGGAATGAAGCCTAAACTGATCCTCTGTTTTTATAAAACAAAAGACCAGAATGAGATATGGAACTTTTGCTTTATATAATTGTTCCTTGCTAAAAAGTCATGTATTTAAGTTTTTTTTTTTACCCCCTAAGAATCCTACAATTAAATGCCTTACTTGCAGATATATTGTCACTTCTATCTTTATTCTTAGTAGCAGAAACAACATTGAAATAATGAGTTATATGAGTGTAAGGTAAGTGGTGCTTTAGCACAAGAAGCCATTCAGCTGTATGTGTAACACTAGTCCTTATGGACTTATAAGTAATTTTTTTTTAAGGTTTGGTTGTTTTGTTTTTTTTCCTACAGAGCTTTTGGTAAAGATTACTAAATACGTTTGGATCCTCTTTCTCTGTTAATTTAACTTCAGGCATTGCAAACCTCTTAATCGTGTTCCCTGTCATCAGCAAGGGAAAAGCCAGCAGAATGTGCTTTTAACATGTGGGATTTTAAAATGAATGAGAGCTGTTTCCCTGGTAACAGATGTGGAAGATGGTTCCTACAGAATATGAATGGAGCATCTGAAATAGCTGCTTAGTTTTGGGGGGTTGTTTTTTTTGGTTGTCCCCTGTCCCATCCTACCTGCCTCTCACCAAACTTGGGGTTTTGTATATTTCTGGAGGTTTGTTTTGTACTGTTGGTTAGTAAAAAGGAAAAGATAATGTTTCAGAGTGCTGCCTGGCACAGATGTCAGGAATGCTCACTGGTAAATGAACAAGAAAAGTGGATAAATTTTCTTTTTGGGGGTTCCACTCCTATTGGAAAAAAAGAACTAACTGTGGATGAGTTGTCAAGGTGAAGTCTACTTTGGCTTTTCCCCAGATCGTTAAAAACCGTGTCTCGTCCCTGACTTATAGTAGTAGAAAAGGTTGCGGCTTTGTTTTCATGTATCTATGTGCACTACATTGTGAAGATAATTTCAGCATTTAATATGATATCTCCATGAAAGTAGTTGAGAGAATGGGCAGAGTAATACTCCAAGATTGCTGAATGACTCTACATGTTTTCCTTTCTGATAAGCCTCAAAATTTCCCTTTCTCCTTCTTCATGTCTCCTTGAAATCAATAGAATCATTCGTTCTGTAGGATTTTTCTGCCTTTGTTGTTTTAAAAACATGTTTTTGTTGCTCCTGCCTTATAAATTTTCAGTAAGTCAGGCTTGTTGAGTGTCATTTCTCTTATGACTATGTTTGTGCACTAGCACCATTTAGTTCTGTACATCAAACTGTTAATCCTGCTGTTACAGGAAGATGCTTCCTTCTGTCAGTTGAACAAGCCTAACAACTGCAATACAAAATATTGCAGATCCTGTTTAAATGTAGTTTAGTTTTTAATACAAGTAGCAAATTTCCTAATTTAATTACTATGCGTCGGTATCTTTATTCTCATAATTATTTCTGCCCATGAAAAAAAGCAGCTGTTTTACTGTGAAGAGAGTCAGAAATGTGGCCTGTCATAGTGGCCTGAGAGCAGAGGGTTAAGGTTACTGAGTTTTGCAGAGCTGATACATCAAATATAGGTATAAGCATGATTTTCTCATTGAGCCCTTTCCAATGGCCACTCACAACTGGAGGAGAGGTTTAATACTAGACTCTGGTCTAAAGATGGCTTTGAACTTTACTTTTATTGCTGTGTATTACCCACTTTTTTGTTTTACGTGTGGCATTTTGACTTCCTCATGCTTATCATGATTGACAACAGAGACAATTGGGAAGGTAATTCAGACCTCTCTTCCTTTGGCTGGAACTGGGGGGGCTTGCTCATGCAGCTGTCCAGTGACTTAGCCCTTAACTGCACCAGAGCTGTTGAGTGAGAGACAGCTGCCAGCATAACAGTGAAACCTGTCAACATGAAGCAAGAGATGAAATATATTTGTTTATTAACTGAGTTAACATCTATTCAGGTATGGCAAGAGGAAAAAAGTGAGTACATGTGCTGGTCTGTACTGTAGATGGAGTTGCCATTACCACTTGAGAACTGACAGTGGTGAAGAACAACCCAGATGTCAGTCACTTGAACTGGCTGACATGTGGATCCAGGATTTACAGCAGGCTTTATTACATCTGCCAAAACTGATCTTTTGTTGTTCTTAATGGTGGTAGGGTTAGCAAAACTAGTTAGTTAGCTTTGCTTTATCCTTAGAATGACAGTCTTCTGGTTTTATTGTGGCTATATTCACAATCTGCTCATCGATGTAATTAAGTTGCACACAAAAATTCATTAGGAGAATGAGAGCATAGAGTTTGTGTTGTTTGGAGCTGGGGGAGGCACATACTTGGTTGGATGGTTAGTTGGCTAATTTGTTTGAATAACTTGTTTCCTCCTTAAAGAATTGAGATATTAGATGTGGAAAATAAATCTGACAGACAAAGGAGGAGTTAAAGACAAAAGAGACAATAGCCAAAACAGATATGATGTTTCATTGCTTGAATTAACGGGCAAAATTCAAATATTTATTTTAATTGAGAAAATGGAGTTTACTAGGTAAGATGTATGTGGCAGTAATTAGTTGGAAGCAGAGAAAAAAAAAAAAAGAATCTTTGAGGTGACTGGAAGGAGAAGAAATGCATGACAGTAACTAATGTGTTTACATCTCACCTTTTGAGACTATTCTGTCTCTATCCTAGTCAGTCATAGACATGTATTCTATATTTTGGCAGTAATGATTCAACAGATCACTTCTTGAAGAAAAATGCATTCAGTGTATTCTGGGCAAGTGCTTACCACAGATACCACTGAGGAGTAAAATACACTTTGCCTGAGTTTTCTGGTGGGAGTTTGGTTTTGTTTTGTTTTATACAACGTTTTTACACTTGCATGTAATACAGAATTCCAACACCTTGGACATATATACCCGCCACCCATTCTGTAATGCTTCTAGAGCGCAGGGCATTAAGATGTGATTATATACCTCTACGATTTGTAATACATCAGTACATTATTGTTCTATTATCTAAATTTTCTGCACTACCTGCTTTTTATTACACTATTACCATTTTTATTATTAATAGTGTAAACTTTCTACTTCAATTTTTTAAGACCCATCACCTAATGTCTTAAAACGCAAGTTCAAATTTATTTGTCTCCTTTTGCTTTCCAAGTATTTTAATTGAAAAGATAATCCAAGTCTTATTGTGTATGTTGTTCCACTCTGAAATGCAGTTATCTTTAGCTTAACATCTCACAAGTATGTGTATTGGCGCAACTGTTCCCTTTTCAGACTGCTTTTGAAAGCCCTGACACTTTTTAACATGCTTTAAAATGATGCTCTATCAAGAAGTGCTTCTAAAGCCTTTTTTTCCATTTTAAACTAGTGAGCCCTGAAGATTTTTTAGATGTCTTACAGAATTGGAAAAACAAAGAGCAGGTATTGTTGGATTTGCACAGGAGCCCTGTGTTCTGGGTTTATGACAAGGGGCACAGCGAGGCACCTGTGGATCTGCTGGAAGGAAGAATGCAGAAGGAATACTGTGAATTCTACTTAAGGTCAGGGTAGGGAGCACAAAGCTTTTAAATGATCTTGTGTTCAGGATTATGAGGGGTCAAGGGGTAAAGCAGGATGGCTTTACCCGTGTATTTAATACCACTTTATAAATCACTTGAATAGGCAATTTTTGTTTGCTGTAGGTTGGTGTAAGTTAGATCAAATCAGATAAAGAAATTTATGGTAAATATTTTATTGTTAAAAATCCGATTTTTCTGCATGGAAGAACTCTAGCTTGGATTACAGATGATGATCTCTTCAAAGCTGGCTCCATCTGCCTTTGGTGTTTGTGGAGCTTGGAAGAAAGCAGCTTTCTTTAAAAGCCAAAATTAGATTTTTTTAAACTTAATTTCACAGCATTGTTATATATCCCTGACAGTAAAATTAACAGTTGCACAATGGTTTTTCTTCAACTCAAACATTAGCAGAGGGCACTGCCGTAATGTGATAGGACTGTTTATTCTGAATTGCATAAAAAATCAGCCCAGCAATTCAACATGGATTAATCAGAATGTTTTCCTCTGACATATAAGGGTTCCACTGGCAGTCAAAAAAGTCAGTGGTGGGGTTTTGGTTTGTTTTGAAATGAATTGTATTTATGTTAACTTCTTAGAACTGACAAGCCAGGACTGCCTTCCTGAGAGCTGTGATATATAGTGTAACATCAGCATTTTACATTATTCCTGGAGGAATTTGTTTCACATGTATTCCAGCATATCTCTATGTTCCATCTCTCTCAAATAAACCGATGCAATGCCAAAATTAATGAAATCCCAAACAGTTGTTGAAAGAACAGCTCATCTTTTTACAGACAAAAATATTAAATGTTTCTTATTGCTCGATTGAAAAGTTGCTTTGCTCATGTTCTGATGAGTGCTGTAGGTACTCAGTATTTTCCTGCTTTGTTATATATGAACATATCATGTTAAGAGGAGCTCTTTCTTCTTTGTACTGATATATTTTCGACACCTAGTGGTACTAATTGTAAATTACTGAGAGCTTGTTAATAGGAAAATTTTCTTACTGGGACTGAATTCTTAGTGAAGCAGATCCTATATCTCAGCCAGAATGGAGTTAATCGATAATATTCTGAAAAATTACAGTGCAGATTTTGAGAAGAAAGTGTAACAGGTATATTTTTGCTTCTGTACCATCCTCCAGTTGGGGAAGAACAAGAAAAGGCTATCCATGGCCGCCTCATGTGAAAGTTCTGTGGAACAGGAATGAATTTGTTCAGTCAAATCGCACTGGTGCTGCATAACAGGAAATAATAGAGGGAAAGAAAAGTATGGTAGAAAGGGGGTCAGCAGTTACAAGAAAAAAATTCTGCTCAGCATTAGTCAAGTTTTTAAGGATGACTGAAATTTGCAAAATGGTGTCATGAGAGTAGGCAGTGAAATGACAGGTAAAGTAAATTGTAGATTGGTGTGAAGTATTTTTCATAGAGAACAACTATATGGCACATGAATTCTCTCTCTTTTTTAATTTCTTGCAGAACAGATAATACAATGACCCCATTTCATAGATCTAAATTTTGGCAGCACCTTAATATTTGAAGTTTCAATACTCTAGCTATGTCTTAGAGGTAAACAGAGCTGAAAAAGCTTCTACATGGGTCAAAGGGCCTGGATCAAGCTATAGAGTATCCTCCACCTGATAACTGAATTGACCTGGTTAGGACTCTTCAACCTAGCAAAAGTACAGCTGAAGGTTAATATGTGTGGTGCGTTGACCTTGGCTGACCTCCAGGTGCCCATCAACCTGCTGTCTCACTCCCCCTTCTCAGCAGGTCAGATGAGAAAATGTGATGAAAAAGTTCATGAGGTAAGATAAGGACAGGGAGATCACTTATCCATTATCACCACAGGCAAAACAGACTCAGCTTAGGGAAATTAATGTAATTTATTGTCAATTATATAACAAAAGAGTGGTAAGAAATAAGAAAAAATCTTTACATGTCTTCCCTCCACCTCTCCCTTCTTCCTAGGCTCAACTTCAGTCCTGACTCTTCTACCTCCTTCTCCTGAGCAGCACACAGGGACAAGGAATGGGGGCTGTGGTCAGATTGGAATACTTTGTGTCTGCTTCTCCCCGCTCCTTGTGCTTTTCCCCTACTCCACCTTGGGGTACCTCTCAGAGGACAGTCATTCACAAACTTCTCTAACATCAATCCTTTCCATGGGCCAAAGTTCTTCAAAAACTGCTCCAACTGGGCCCCTTCCAAGATGTGTAGTCCTTCACAAAGAGACTGCTGCAGCATGGGTCCTCCGTGGGCCACGGGTCCTGTCAGGAGCCTGCTTGTGCATGGTCTCTCCGCAGGCTGAAGCTTCGGTCAGGGCATGTCCACCTGCTGTGGCATGGGGTCCTCCATGGGCTGTGGTGGGGCAGCCTAACTCACCATGGTATTTTCCAAAGGCCGCCCTTTTCCACAGGCTGCCGGGGAATCTCTGCTCTGACAGCGAGAGCAGAGGTGCCTAGAGCACCTGCTCCCCTCCTTCTTCACTGACCTTTGTTTCTGCAGGGCTGTTTCTCTCACATCCTCTCACTCCTTTCTCACAGGTTTGGTGCACAGCTTTTCTTACACTTTCCTAAGGAGGCTCTCGTGGAGGCAGCCCTGCGCTGTGGATGGGCTCAGCTCTGGCTGGCAGCGGGGTCCCTCGTGGAGCTGCCGAAACAGACCGTGTCTGATGTGGGGCACATCTGTGCCATCTTTTCACAGAAGCTGTCCCTGCATCCCCCCAATTACCAAAACCTTGGCATGAAAACCCAATGCAAATTGTGCAGGGGTATAAAATCAAGAGTGTGTGAAGATTTATTGAATACAAGAGAACAGAAAAGAAAGAGATTTATTGAATACAAGAAATGGAAAAGGACCTTTTTTAAAAAAACCTTTAAAAGAATTTTTAATAAAATCAATAATTCCCAGAGTAGATGACAGTAATTTATGCATTTTTGTAATTTCTGTTAGCGTGTTTTCAATCAGTCTTTATATAAGAATCCATAGAAATATGAAACGAAGTAATGTGGCCTAATGATAAAATTCTTCCTCAATTTCAGGATCAGTGTAGAGTTTGTTGTTAAGGTGTACATAAAGTTTGCGCAAAGTTCTCAGTGTTGAGAAATTTGATTCTTACACACACAAAATTTCTTTCTTTTGTACTGATGTACCTTGCTTGTTTTGTAGTGACTTCTATCTGCTTAAACATTGTAGGATGTATTATGATAAGATCTTATATATCTCATAAGATCTTATCTAAATGATACTTTATATATATAGATAGATATGTTTAAAATAAATAAATAAATACATCCCTTCCAAACCCAGAAAAGAAAATAATTTAACTAAAACAATATGGATTATGGAGAATGGAAAATTCAGAAATGATACTACAGTTAATGGTGACTCCTGTGCATGCTCAGATAAGGTGCACATTATTGTGTATGTATCTACAAATATTCTCAGCTGCCAGGATTTGCAAAAAAATTTCTCTCTCTCCTCTTTCCCCCTCCCCCAGGCACAGGAGAAAGTGGCAAGAGTACTTTCATTAATCAAATGAGGATTATTCATGGATCAGGTTGCACAGAAGAAGACAGGAAAGACTTCACAAAACTGGTTTACCAAAACATATTTACAGCCATGCAAGTGATGGTCAGAGCCATGGATGCTCTCAAGATACAGTACACATCCAAAGAGAATAAGGTAAGCCAGTACGAAGAAAATTCTAGTTTCAGTCAAGGAAATTTCAGATTGTAACAAATTATTTGAGTCATAACCTTCTACAGGCAGATCCTTAAAAATCCATATTTCTTGCGAGGAGTTTGGTGACCCACCATCTGATTCTGCAGAATAATGGGGACTTCTTAGAGGAAGGGAGGAGAGAGGGAGCAAGAATGGGATGGAGCTGGCTAGGAAGGGAGAATTTTCAAAGTTGCTAGCTGGTAATTAGTACCAAAAATTTGGGGTTTTTTTGAATCTAAGTTGGAGGGTTAGTCTGTGCATGACAGGAACATGCAGACAGAACCTGGTTTGTCAACAGAGCTCCAGAACTAGGAATTTTGGGTCTATTGTAGGGA